GCTTTTTCTCTTTATATTTTTGTAATGCTTAAGTTTTGCTTTCATTAATATTTTGTTTATGTCTTTCATTTCCTTTACTATACTTATATAATCATGTTCTCCTCTTGTTTATTTATGCTTATCTTCTTCATTATGTTTTGCTAAGTTTATTATATCAAGGTAAAAATGTTTTACTAATGGTGTTATGATAAATATAATATAAACTCAATATGAACTTCAATGCTTATACCCTAAACAACTTGTTATTAACATGTCTTATCTTTTTTATCTTATTAATTCTTAATACCTTATTTGTTAATTGGTTAATCTAGATTTATGTTGTATAATATTTGGTACAACAAATGCTTGGCACTTTCATTGCCAACTGTATAGTATAATTGATACTTGTGTTATTAAAGGAACTTGATTTGTTGTTAATATAAGTTACAATCATGAATACCTGACAACATTTACAAGTATTAGCATTATTCGAATAAAATAACTAAACTACTCATCGTAACAATTTATAATCGAATTGGAACTTCCTTTGTGTGTAGTTTCTATTTGAGTAATTAAAATTTATACTGTACTTGTTTGAAATACCTTTAGTAGATCCTCTAACCGTGATATTTATTGTTATTATTGTTTAATCCTTACATGGATTTTCCATCTCAAAGTTCTCATTAACTTCTTCTTCTTCTTCTATTATTATTATTATTATTATTACTACTACTACTACCACCACCACCACCACCACTATTATTATTATTATTATTATTTCTATTACTATTACTATTACTATTACTATTATTATTATTATTATTCTTGTTGTTAACCTTCCTGTGATTTGTCCTGGTCTTACTAGGTTATTTATTACTTCGACACTCCTACTACACTTGGGAGAAGACATCAATTTTTTGGTTGTGTCAAACAGGTAATGTTATTTATCAAAAATCAACTACTAGTTTTTGCATGTTTATTGGTGATAATTCGGTTTCCTAGCGTAGTAAAAACAACATGTTATTGCATGTTATAGTGCTAAAGTTGATTATCGTGCGATGAAATCTATAGCTTGTGAATTAATTTAGCTCTTCTGTCAAATATAGGATTTTACAGCAGTATTCCAATGATTTTGTTAGTGATAATGAAATTGTCATGTATATTGCAGCTAATCCTATGTTTTATGGAAAAACTAAATACATTGAAGTTTATTTCCATTTTATTCATCAACAAATTCAATTGCAAATTATCAAACTATATTACACTCGCAATCACGATCAACTAAATGATGTATTTATAAAGGTTGTAACTTCAGCTCACTTTCATTGTCTACCATCTAAGCTTGGCACAATTAACCCCTTGATCCAGCTTGAGGGGAAATATTGAAGGAAGGACAATAGATTCTCACTCCCACACGGATTGCAAGTCCTTCTGCAAATTAGATTTAGATTACAGAGTCTAACCTTAACACAACTTAACACAACTTGTAGAGTTAAACTCCAACACAAGTTTAATTAACTATCCTGCTGTAACAAAATTGATAGGTTAATAGTTAATAGAAATAGACTCTGACTTGATCATTAACATAACTTCCTCTACTGTAACAGAAATTAAGTGTATATATACCTATCCTGCTGTAACAAAATTATGATGAATAATTCTCTTCTTTCTCTTTTGTTTCTTCAAATTAAAAACAACTGTTTAATTAACTATCTTTTAAACAATTACCTTCTATAATTAGTAATGTCCATGGCTAAGAAAAATTCTGCCCAAGCCGTCACTGCGACCGTGATCCTGATCTATTTTACTAATTAGCTGATGACTAGTCCTCTATGTGTGTGTAATGTTTTTATCATATAAAATGGGCTATATAGATAGACCGATCTTTTATTATTATTATTATTATTTGTTTACCTTTCAAAATTGTAGTATATCAATTAAAAATATTTTCTAGATAATATAGAATATTTTGGTGAATAACTTTTAAGTAGCCATGAATCAATAAATCTATTTATGAAGATACATTTAAGATGAAAATAAGTTTTTAATCAAATTTTGAACATTTGCATGGAGTTTTGGATATTTATATTCAACGTAATTTTATTTCTTGAAACAAAAATTGTTTTATATAGTTATGATTATAAATAATTTGAAGTAACAAAGAATGAATAATTGTGAGATAGATAATATTTGAATTATATGCATTTATTTCTTTAATTAATGGAAAACAATTTCAAGTTATAATCATAAGAAAATAATGACACTTCTAACTACTGTTTTTAGATACTTTTTTAATTACCGATATATATTTGGATATATTTACCGATAGAGGATATATTTGAATGTTTATTCAACTTACACGTTAATTCTATAAATAATATTAATCATAATGGATTTAATTAGAGAATGAACAAGCCTGAAGGGGAGTTCAAAGATTGACCTTGGCCTTAATCCCCTCAAAATCCGGAGTCCAGTGTTCATAGCGAGAGGAAGAAGAATCAATAAATCGGGAACTCATCTAGTTCTCTGCTGAACTGGTTCAAGCGGAGAGGTAAATGCTGCAAGGATGGAAGACCAAATAGAGAAGAATATAGCATTCTACCAAGCTGCATACCAGACAAGTAGAGGTGTGAAAGCTTAGGAATTCCATAAATCCCTTTGAAATGGAGGGGTGCAACTTCTGCAAACTATGAGTCCATGAAATGGAGATTTGCAAGCAATGAAGGGATAATTCTAGAAAACATGCAACTAATCAAGGTCTTGAGATTACTGATTCACCGAAGTGGCATGGCCCAAACACAACTGTTCAAAGGAAATTTATGGCATATGCTTTTCATTGGCTTCGCCCCAAATGAAAAAGATATGTCATAGATGAATTTATATGACCAAATTATATCAAATAAATTTTGAAATACATTGTCAAATCAATTTGATTTCTCACCTTTTTTTCAAATTAATATTATAAAAAATTTTCTTCAATTATTATGTTATGCAATTTAATTTCATTTTAGGAAATAACAATCACATATTGAAATTGTTGTGCAATGGATTCCCAATGATTAATGAATCTAAATATATAAGTACATATAATTACATGAGTTTGATTAAATAACCAGCTCAATAATCTTAAGGCCTTTACTGCATGGCTTAAGAAAAAAAATCATAGAAATAAATTACTTTGTTAATCTAATTTCATAATATTTTATAAATTTTTGTGGTTAATTTATGTTTCTTTACTTATATCATGTCTTTATTTTTATAATAAATATTAAATCTTTATGTACGTTTTGATTTAAAATAAAGTTGCATTTTTTATTAGAAAACAACTGAATTAATTTTACCCTAAGTAAACAAATAAAAAAAGAAAAAAAAATGATTTGAATCAAGAAAGTTAGGGCGATGACAAGTTTGAGGTGTGTTTGGGCATGTCAAGTATGTGTGCCTAGTGCTTTTACACGCACACGCACACGCACAACGGGCAATGCTTTGGCCTTCACTTAATATTATTAACTTACACACACACACGACGGGCAATGCATTATTGTCCTTCACTTAATATTATTAACTTATTTAAAAAACCCAATGAAACTATAAAAAAAAAACCAATGACCAGTGGAATAGGGTTTTCTTTTAGCATTATTAGTAATTTCATGGAATATAGAAATTGAGGTTTTTTCTTTGATTTTGAAATAAATTCCCACAAAACTGCATGAACTTCAAATTAATGAAGATGTCATTAATTTGAAGTTCATGCAGTTTTGTGGGAATTTATTTCAAAATCAAAGAAAAAACCTCAATTTCTCATATACAAAACCTTTATATTGCAACCTCAGATACTGACCTCAAGTCTTCTGAAATCTCTAAGGAAGAATTCTAAATTGATGAGGGAGCAACTTCTAGTAATATATATATTAGTGTTATCTGTTAAGTGCATTGAAGAAAACAATTACAAATTTTGGATGACTAATTTAACAATTTATAATTAAATTTTAATCTAATAATAAATAATTTATTATTTTAATCTAAGAAATTTATTCAAAACATCGAAGATGCTCAATTATTTTGACATTTGATGAGTATAATAAAAGCTAATTAAGGGACATTCTCATATTCAATTTCTACCACGCTCCATAGGAAAATTTATAAACTTAAGTGTTAAAAAAGGATGGCGATCGAGGGACCTTCCGGGATGATGTATATTGTAGTTCAAGGGGAAAAGGATAAAAGACAAACAAACTAACGATTGAATCAGTAGTAGTGGAGAAGGGCATTCAGTGGGTGCGAGGACGTCGATACTGGTGTTGGCCACCATGGTAGCTTGATTCCGAAGACATTTTCCAAAGCGCAGAATTTATGCTCATACGGAATCCCATCAATGACTTCCAACTCTCCGGTTCGGATGTTGCACGAGATGATGTGGTAAAGGAAGCCCAAGTATACCACCTCCTTATTTTCTGGGTGGAATGCGAGTGCCCGTGCATTGACCCTATTCTCGCTCTTTACAAAATCTCTAACCCAGGTTTCTTTGGAGAACATATTGTCAAAGGAAATCACGTGTACCAAACTGAATCCTCTAGTCTCATTGTCCTTGAGCTCCCAAACACTCAGATGATCATTAGAATCTGAACGATAGGAATTAGTGATGATCTGCATGAACCGCAACAATCCTCGGCATTCCCCAAGGCGGAAATTAACTACCCGTAAAATGAGGCGGTCAGGATTGTTAAGAATGACATCGGGCAATGGGGTTCGTCCTTTAAATTGGGATCCATCGATGAAAATGGTTTGCCCATCATTAAAGGGATCATAAGCAACAACATCTCTACCATTGTACCAATGCAACTTCCCATCATGTGCTAAAACATTGGTAAAGATAAAGTCATACTGAGCACCTACCAGAAACGATTCATTCCATTGTCCAGTCTCAGAACAATATAAATCCACCGCGACATGGTGCTCTGCTACCTCAATAAAGCGTACAAGCCGAAAACGAGATTCATATTGTTGTCCTTGAATCCATCTCTGATAATTTGGCTGGCAAACCAACCCAAAATATATTCTTTTTGTTGTAGTTCTTATGAGAGGAGGGGGGAGGACACTCCATTGCCTAGTGAAGGGATTGCAGATATAGTAATGAGTGATAACATAATCACCGTGTTTTGCTATGCAGAAGAGTAGATCATCGCAGGAAGCCTTTACAGAAACAATAAGATTAATGTCGTCTTCCTGTGGAAGAAATTCTAACGTGAATTCCTTGGGGGATTCCTCCAGATCAGCACCAGTTGCGAAAAAACAAAGCCTTGGATCGTTATATCTACTAATAAAGAAGAAAGGGGGGTATTTGTGGTATGCAGCGGCATAAGAAGAATAATGGTTTCTCAGCTTGTCATTGATATGGTGCGATATAAACCTGGAAACAAAGTAGGGATTCTCTAGTATAGAACACCAACCTTTGGAGACCAACTTGGAACAAAAGACTGATTTTTCTGGTGGAAGTCGAACAAGAATGTTGATCAACAGATCGGCATTCAGATTGACGAGAGAGAAATCGTTTTCCCCACTTGCTGCTGCTTCTACTGCTTCTGCCGCTATGGATTCTGATGTATTTATTTCTCCATCCATTTGTTTCTTTTAAAGTTTGGCTGTCGCCGTTTTGCTCTCTCTCTATATATATGCACACATTCTTAACATCCTGTCATTCAAGGAATAGGATTCTTAAAATATCCGAACTGGAAGAGGTTTCTAAGTGCACTGCCTCTGCTTTTGGCGTCATACCGTTACTCACTCGGATTATATATTAAATAGAAACTGACTACAGCTATTAATCACGCAACCACCTGAGGATAAGTCCTTGAGTAATTGAATTGAACTATGATTTTGATGCCTTCAACTAGAATTAATTAGTTAAATAAGGATTCGAAATATAAATCCTTTCTATCCAGGAAACCTTTTCCTATCTCAACACTACTGCTAGCATTAGTGCAAAAGTTTCTTTCCTGAGCTGTTGACTTGTTATATACTTGGTTAGACCCTATGTATAACGCAGAAAGCAGAAGGAATAGGATTACTGTTTGTTTGAAGATAAGTGAAAAAACATTGCTCGTTGTTTAGACCTATGAGGTTATCTCAAATTAACTCTTTTACTCACAATATTTTTTTCAAATATTTGATATTTTTTATTTTGATTTTGACATTAATTACTCATACATGTTTTTAAATATTTGATTATATTAAATTCAAAACCAAACCCAATATATGTTCAAATTTTCTAATTAAAGGATACTTAAACATTAATATTTATGATTGGCTTCACCCAAAATGCAAAAGATGAATTTATATGACCAACTCATATCAAATCAATTTAATTTTGAAATATTTTGTATGTCGCTAGGAAGATGAAAATTGATTCTGTAGAGGGTTCCTATCTTGATCCACTTGATGATAAGGTAAGAGTGAGTGCTTCATCTTCTTCAAAGCTTTAGTGTTGATTTTTTATAACTTGTAGCTGGAGTTTGTTATAATCTGCTAGAGGATAATTTTGTGAAACTTACTTTTTAATTTTATATAGGTTCTTATCGGATCAGTTGCATTGGAAATGGCACATAAGGATCTTGTACACCGTAAGTTGTCGTGATTTTGAGCATATTTTGCAGCACATAGAATTCATATGCAATTAGTGCGTTAGTATAAATGAATATATGTGGTCAATATATGGTAAACTATGTTATAATGTTGCCTTGTGAAGCCTGACTTGTCGGACTGTTTGTATTGCAAGATGTTGCCCTCTTCGGCGGAGCAGCTTATCATAAAGCTAGTAACTTGGGCTGGAAGCTCTGTTGGCCGACTTGGCGTTTGTCCCTATTTGTATTGTTTTTTGCTTTTATCTGGTTGTTAATTTATTCCTCGGCCTAAAAATTTGCTTGATATTTCGAATGTCTTCTTCCAGTTGGTATGATTTCTTCCATCTTGATGGGACCCATCCAGTGAAGGTTGAACCTCTCCTCAAAAGGTATGGATCATAATTTTTCTATTTGATTACCTAAATGAGGTCTAAATGAGGTTTAAGGGTTTAAGGTTTAGAATGAAGAACATTTTGAATCAAAAGGTATGGTAAAGAGTGAAGTCTCGTGATTCTGTTGTCATGTTAAGAAACCTAGAGGTAGTTGCAATGTAGGAAATGTGTAGAGCTCTTGAAAGCTTGAAGGAAACTGGTTGCTATAGGGGTGGAAATTAAGTCTGCCTGCTACGATAACTACCTTTCACTTATGTTAGAATACATATGTTCATAATTGATGATTTAACGTGTTTTATGTTACTTTTTTTTAGAATTGTTGTTCGATAAAAGAATCAAATAAAACATTTTATAATTATCCGTTATAGTCATCTTGGATTATCTAATATCAGATATCAATTACTAATCGCCTTAACTAGAAAAAAAAATTAATAAATTATTTGAATAAAAAAATTAACTAATTATTCAACATATAAATTTTAATTTTAAACTCCTTAGATTTTAGAACTTCATTAATTGGTATTGTAAGTGGAAAACAAATCAAAAGGCCATTAATTATTCTTCTTTAACTTGTTTTTTATATCCCTAATCATTATCAAAGGTATATGATCAAGACATTTCTGGAATAAGACGCGTCACGAACCTCCTTATAATTATTGGCATATCTACTCCATTAGAGCTTCAACAACTCTTCAATAAATAGGAAAGGCTATACAGTAATTTATTTGCTATAAGTTAAAGCATGATTTCTTCTACTTGCCTATGGACTTAATAAGACAATAAAACTTGGGTTATCTGTTTGCCAATTTCATAAATACAATTAGAATCTTGAGATTCTAGAAAGCTTTTGACAAGTACAAGTGAAAAGTTGGTTAAAATAGTTAAGCATGTTAAGTATCTTTGGCAATCATCCAAAAAAAAATGAAAGAGTTTCCCTTATGCTTAACACTATGATCAAATGAAAATTCATCAATAGCCAATGAGAATAACAATGTAAATTTTTTGTATATGAATGACTTATTCAAAATATGTTTTTATTTTCTTTGGGTGATACTTGAGGACCTCTCATCAACTAGTTAATAAAGGATTTGACTTGGGACATAGCCACATAACCTTCAAAGGATGGGATAGACATAGTCTTCCTAGTGTAATTGTATACTTTATCTTGAAAGTGTTTGACCTGGTCACCCTAATGCAATTGCACAATTATCTGAGGATGGGATCCTCACAACCTTTCAAAGATTGGATGGACTTAATCTTTTTAGTATGATTACACATTTTACTTTGGAAGAGATCATCATAGTCTTGCTATTGAGATTGCACGATTTACCTTGGAAGACATTGATTTAGTCATCTTAGTGCAACTCTTTAAATATGAGATAGGCCTCATAACCTTCCAGGGATAGGATGAACCCAGACTCCATAGTGTAATTGCATAATTTATCTTAAAAGGGATCGATATGGTCTTCCTAGTGCAATTGCACAACTCTCCAATGATGAGATGAATGATGCCCCAACAATGGGGACGGAAGTGATCTCCCTAAGGCAACAACCCCATAACTTTCAAAAAAGTTTTGACTTTGTCCCTATAATACAATAACACCAATATCCACATGATCTTAGCATCATCACAATGATCTGATAGAAATAAAAAGAAATAATCACAACCTAAATTTTTTTTCAGTTTCAAGCAGGGGATGTATCCTACTAAGGTTAGATAAAATTTAAAGGTCGATTCCTGCCAAAATTTGATATATATTTTTCTAAGTATGGGCATTGGACTTATACAGATTTTTAATAATTTCCTAAAGGGTTTTAGACCCTACATGGAATTTTTATTATAAGCGTTGGACCAATATAGATTGCCTAAGGAATTCCCTCATCTTTTTTCTAAGTATAGGTGTTAAACCCATATAAAATTTCAAAACTTTTCTTAAGGGCCTTAAACCCCATGTGGAAATTTTACTATGGAAATTCAAGATGAAAAGAATCAAATTTATAAAATAAAACAAAATATTTGTTACATGGAGAAACCCTATAGGAAAGAGGTTATGTACATAATGACTGAGGGGGGAGGCTTAGATGTTTAGACTAGTATCTTCAGTTAGGTATTCTCCATGTTGGATAACTAAAGCCCTTTGCAAAATCAGGCATTAGAATTGGATGGAAGAAATCACTAAAATCCATTTACATTCTTCTAGATTGACTGAAGAAATACAAGTTGGATATGGTAAGAAACATATTGGCTCTAATCATCTCAAAAAAAGTTGCAATCCCCTAAAAACATTCTTGGAACTCCCCAAAGAAATTTCTCAACGCCTCCAACTGAGCTCAAAAACTTAACCCTTAGACTATTTTAAGTAGTCTTCGCCTTAAGAATCTCCTATTTTAAGATAATCATTTTATTATAAATAGCTTAAAGCAATATATAGTTGGAGCCTAACTGAAGAACAATGTCTTGTATTTATTCCTTTAGTGATGAATAGTCCACCTTAACCCTCCTTAATTTGGCCTCCACAATTTAGTCGCTTGAAGGCAACCTAATTTTCCTTATTGTTTATAATAACCTATCTTATATGGTTCTTCTTGGCATTTTATTACCTCTTGGAATAAATGCATATTATAAAAGTCTGTCAAAAACAAGTGTTAGGAATAATAGTCATAAAACTAATCTACAAAGAGAAATGATAAACTTCATTACATTAAAGGCTATTTGTCCTTTTAAGGCTAAATAGAGATAATAGCTCTTATCAGATATCATTGAGATGTTTGATGTAATGGTAAGGATCCTCTCTAGCAGTCTCATCATTTATAGGCTAGTCTCTTTAAGGCTTAAACTCTCATTGACAATAGCCTTTATGAGCCACTTATCCTCATCAATTAAGGTGGGGAAATTGAAGTTTAATAAAGATCGATATCATGAAAAGTATCCTCAAATTCAACTTTCTTAGGAACAACCCAAATAAAGGGCTTAATTATTGTAGCCTCTACAGATAAAGTTAAAAGTCAAGGTAGAGGAAATGCTGCCATATAAGCTTCTATAGTTGATGTTAAAACACTAATTTTTATAAAGGGTGGAGACCCTTTTTCTCTTAAAATATGCCTTAGGCACGTAATCAGTTTAGAAAGGGTCAGATTTATTTGACCCCTAGGTAGGGAGAGTGTGACTACCTCTAGCTTTTGTCTTTGAGAAAGGTTGGGCTCCCACCATTGCATACTTATAGATAGGGATTTCATCGATGATGATGATGATGGAGTTGTCATTCATCTCTTCTCTAGTCTTACCTTCACTTAAGATAGGAAACGAAAACCTTTTCAATGAAATCTCCTTTGCAGACCTTGTTAAAATTTCTCCTTCTCCTTCAGCTGTTACTCATGTAACAACCCAATCTTTTATTTTTTTTATTTTATTTTCTATAAAATAAAAAAATAAAATGGAAAAATTGGAATGAATAAAGAAAAATTAAAATCTGGGTCAAAATGATACAAATAGAAAAAAAATTTAGGATCAACTAATGAGGAATTGTAAATTTAGGGTTTAATTTTGTTAGAAATTAAAAGAATTAATAAGTTTGGGGACTAAATTAAACCTTGAATTGGTTTAATTAAT